GAACCAATCACACCCTAAATATCAAAAAAAAATATATCAGAAGAAATAAAGGAAACTTTGTCTTCTCCGCTTCTCTCTCTCACGGCGATCTCCGCCTCTCTCTCTCTGTCTCACAACATCGTCGATCTTCGACGATCTCTCTCTTTCTGTCTCATGACATCGTCGATCTCCGACGATCTCTCTCTTTCTGTCTCATGACATCGTCGATCTCCGACGATCTCTCTCTATCTCTCTCACGACATCGTCGATCTCCGCCTATCTCTTTCTCTCTCGGTCGACTTAGTGTTGATACTTTTCTAGCAAAGAAGACTAGCCGGAGTGGGCGGAGCTGCGTCTGTGTCTTTTAATGGCCTCTCTGTTCTCTACAAGGATTACAAGGTCGCTGACGAATCGATTTCTCAGCAGGTTTGCAATCCATTCCTTTCGATTGTCTCTTGGGACATAGTTATTTGCTCATGAATCCTATTTTCGAATAACCTTAATTGATACATTTAGTTTGCGTAGCATAGTTAAGAAGGGAATTTATTGACCGAAGAGTTGAGAAATTTTGGAGAAACAGAGTAGAGCATTATAGGGATTTACTCTTTTCATGAAATTCTATCGTCTCTATATCATTCATCTTCTAATGCAACCTGTTACGGTTGATATTACTTGGTCATGTGATGTAATAACCATAATTATCTTATCCTGTAACCTGCCTGATGTGTTGGTAATTCATCTTCATTTTCCCATTCTCTCATATGCAGTTTCCAGGTGATAAGATAATTGATTTGGCCAAATTCTTTCTTGGTGTTGTAATTCCTGGTGATGCCAAGGACTTCTTCAACCAAATATATGCACTAGCTTGTTTGGAAGACAACAAGCAATGCTGTTTTCATGCGCTCTTTAGTCTTTATATAATTTCTCTTCAGTTTATTTTAGTACTCATCTTCGACGAGATTTCAGTAACCTTTGAATTGAATTAAGTGAAGGACATATATTTACTAGGACTTACTGTTACTTCTGTTCTTCCGCATCAACAGTTTCTTTTGATAGAAGTAAAATTGTTCCTCTTTACGTTGTCAAAATGTTGTGAAGGTCTCGTGGTCATGCATATTAGAATTTTTTAACAAAATGATTGCTGTAGGAATGATATTTGTAGAGAAAAGTAGAAGTTTTAAAGTTCAAATACTTGTGAAATTACAATTGCGTGCTCATTTATTATGCTCTCACTAAAACCTTATCATTCTATGGGAATAATATGTTCTATGGTCCGCAATCATTTCAGGTTCTCTGTTCCACTCATCTTGTCCCTCCCATCTACAGTCATTTCATTGACAAAGAAAGAGCCTCTGAAGGTATCCCATCATAAACTTGCACATCAAGATGTGACTGACATTGTTTGAGATTTTTATTTTATTTTAATCTTTCCGCTGTTATGACTTCATACTATTCTCTTCAGAGTTATGGTAGTCTACAAATGTTCCAAGTTCTAATATTTTCTTGTTTGAAATTGCTCTTGATTCTTTGTAGGTATGACTTTGGATTTGCAAAAGAGATTTTTTAGGGAAAATGAAGAACCCGAAGTTGTGAAGATCAACAACAGCTGCAAAAAGTCTCTTATGAAGAAATTGAAAGATCGACTGCCTAATGAGTATGAGGAAGTGAAGCAAGATCCGGTGTTTGCGCATATTTTGGCAATCCATGAGCAGTCTCTTGGATACTCAGGAAAATTGATACACAGCTTCATGTGTAAGTAGCTGGATACTACGAAATTGCATGAGCTATTTTGTGTTTGCTAGGAGGCCTCTTCGGTTTTCTCTTCAAGAGTTTTACGCTGTCACTGGGCTCAATTACGTGAATCCGGACAACTTGAACTTTGAGGAATGGATAGATGATGACGGTTTCTAGAGTAGGTTGCTAAAGAGTAGGAGCGCTATTTGCTTAGTGTCGATAAAGAAGAAATATTTGCTGGAATGTCACAATTGGACGCGTGTGGACAGAGTGCGCTTGGTGTACTTGTGTGCTTTGGGAGTTTGTTAGTTGTGAATGATGAGAAGGTTTCTCACTTTTCTGTTCCTTGTGAGGAGACGTTTTCGTGAGATTGATCGCCTTCCTAGTCCTTTCAAGGGAACTCTGTTGTTTCTGAGCTAGATATCAAAGGTGTAAGCGAATAATGGTATCATGGAAAATTTTCTTAACCTCGCTTCCAATCTTTGTGTGATCATTTATTTGGAGGTGACTCACTGGAAATGTTCCTAGTCCTTTACTCAAAGAAAATCATTTCATCTTTTCTGCTTATATTTAATCTTAAAATAA